AATGTCGCCCGTGAGGAGCGGCCCACCATGGTGATAGCATGCTTGGTCGATGCAGTAGAGCACATGCGCATGGTGGACGAGGAGGACGGTCCGGCCGGTCGGGAGCACGATGCACCTTCGAGCGCCGTTCGGGACGTCGGTGGCCGCGCAGACTGCGTGGTACTCGGCCATGTGTGAGGTCGAACGCCAATTGGCAACTGATTGTATTTTAATACCGGTCGTTTGCCATTATACTTGATATTTGTATGAGGTGGCACGAAGGGGAGAAAAATATCTTCGCGCCAAAATGCGCATGAATATCCGACAGGGATAGAATGGTAGAAACATGTCTTGGCTCGATTTGGCTTGATGCAACTTACGTTGACGTCGCACAAGACACAGCGCATCGTCGGTGGTGTGAAACGTCGAGACCCCAGGACGCTAGTACGTGCCGTTCGTCATCGTGTGCTCAAGGTACAAGTAGCAGTCTGTCTGCGGGCGACCAGTGGTCTCGATCGGGGAGCTGAAGGGCACAACGACCTCCAGTGACACGAGATGCGCAAAGTACGCATTCTTGGCAGGAGCCTAGCACGAAGGCGCCAGACGTCGGCCGCGAGCTTGTGCACGACAATTTCGTAGATTTCGCAAAAGAGGGTCTGCTGGTTGGTTGCTTTTTTGCCCAGTTGACCATCGGCATGATGAGACTGTGTAGTAGACAGACGCTGCAACGCAAGCGGTGAGTCGACGAGGCGTCGCCATCGAGAAGGTTCAGGTAATCTTCGTCGCGCGTGATGCTCTTGATGTACGTGCGTCGGATGGCGTCGATGAAGCTTGGCCTGTCTCTATCGAGGCTGCGCTCAAGCGCTCTGAGTGGTGGCTCCGCCAAGTCGAATTCAATCTTTGGATTGCTGCAAAGAATGCGCAAGCTGCCGCCAGAGTAGGCGTACCGCTCGGCACAGTTGTCAAGGTATTTTGGGTCGCACTGAGCAAAGCGTTTGAGAGCCATCTTGGACCGACGACGAGGATGCGCTCGTCGACTTCCTTGTTCTGGTACTAGGCAGAAGACGGCAGCTGGTCGCCCGCCTGCAAAGTAGTGTCTCTGACATCTTGCTGCATGTACGGGTCGGCGATAATGAAGCACTTTTGCCAGCGACTTCGTACTCGTGCTTGAAGTGTCGCGTGAGCTCTGGAAGAGTGGGCTTTTCCGCATCACTGCAGACGACGTTGTTGGCACGGAAGAGATTGACAAAGTGGCTCGATTCTCGTGGCAGCTTACGACGACAACGACATGCTCTACATCCGAGCTTTGAGCGCCGACCCATGCACGCTCGTCGTTCGATTCTCCGGCTGCCACGTCACCAAGGACCCCGAGTTTGCACGAAAAGCTCGGCGCATTATTAGTCCGTTTCAAGAGAAGATCAAGTGCGAGTGCGTCGCCGCCGGCAAAAAACATTTGGTTGCTGGTGATATGTAGCACGTCCTTCTTTGTCTAGGAACTAACGCGCTTTGAATTAGGCAGCTCCACGGGTGCGACTTGCTCGCCATGTCGTCGAGCATCCCCAAGTACTACTAGTATGCAATTTGCTGCGCTTGTGATGAAGCTCGCGTTTGAACAAGTGCTCGAGCAGTCGATTTCGCAGGATGAGCCAAAACAGCTACTAGTCGACGCCAGCTGCGCAGTGGTGACGGGTCATGCGACCACTGCAGCCTGCTTTGCGTATCTCCAACATGACCTGCCACCGGCGACGTACTGGTACCCGGGAAGCGACAACTTTTCTGCGGTCCACGGCATCTTTTGACGGCTGGGTCAGCTACATCCAGACAACGGTGGAGCCCAACCATGTGATCCCGTGGGGCGAGTTGGCCGTCGTGCATGCTGCCGTCAAGCGCAACGCGAAGCTCCAGAACCACAAGCACCGCCTCGTGCTGGTCATGCCTGCCAACGTGACGTGGGTCGGCCTGGAATTCGCACCAGATATTGACGACGTTGCCGTGTGCACGGGCGTCGTTGCGCTATCGCGAGCCATCGACCATAGCAAGCCGGAAGCAACCGAGTACATGTAGATTTTCGTAACGAGGATGACGGAGCGTACTGTATGCCTTTGTGGATTACTACTCGAGCGCATCGTCGGCGACA